AAGCTGCCGATAGTTTCCCCTGGAGAAACTCGGCAAAAACTTGAAATTTCTTCTTCTTCTCTTGTTAAATAACAAGCATAGACCCCAGAAATCCTTTCCCCCCATCTGCAGAATTCGGATCCGCGTTGCTCTGCGTCTTCCTCCCCTGCTGTCCGCGAGTTTCTGCTGTGTGGGGTGGCGAAATTCTCTGATTTTTTTGGTAAGAACAGCCTTGAATCTCCCTTCTCCAGCTTTAATTGGCTTGGGTTTAGTCTAATTCCTCTTGGTTTCTCCAATTTTTGGGTAGATTTCCCCCTGAATTTTCTGCACTTCCCGCCGGTCTCCCCAAGCCACAGCTCCGGTTTTTGCTGGATTTATGGTATGTTGACAGCCCCATTAAGTCCGAAATTACCCATTTAATTGCTGGGTTTTGTCCATTTAGTTGATGCTCTTTGTTGTCCGAAATCTGTTAGAATATGGGGAGGAATTTGGTAGCCTTTTTGACATGTTTTTTAGCTTGATTATGTAGAATTTAGCTTGAATTAGCTGCTGTGATGTTTTGTGTGAAAATCCCGTGTGTGAGTGTGGTTTTGCCAAGCCATTTTCTCCATTTTTCTATCCCGGGAGTTGGTAGCTTTAAGTGGGTCTTTGTTTAATTTAAGTGGAGGTTAGCTTGGGTTGTTGTGATTTTGGAGAAAAATCCCGTGAGATTAGTTATTGTTTTGCCAAATTTGGAAGTTTAGGTTACTGTTCATAGGTACTGTTCACGGGCACTGTTCACGCACTGATGGTTAACAATTAACTGGGGATTTAAATGTTTGGTTTGTAATATAAGAACAATTTGGAGATATCCGGTTATGTGGAGATGGATAGAAATAGCACTGTGATTAGGGGTAGTGCTAATGATGATTTCACTGTGAATTTGTGGTAGTGCGGTATTAATTCTTGGAATATTGTGGTTAGGTTTTGATCGTTCTGTCATCGTAGCACTTGGGTTAAGACTTCTGTTCTGTGCAAGTGAGGTAAGTAAATTATGGTAAAGCCCTTCGATTTTAAAGCATGTTTTAAATTGTTTTTGAGATGGTGGCAAGGTTTAAATTGATTTTCTCAGCATCTGAGTGTGATTTAACTAAAATGAAAATTGTGATGATTTTTATGAAAATTTCATTGTTTTTCTGGAATTGAGCATGATTGGAATGAAAGTGGGAATTTCATTATTTTCTGGAGTTATTACACCGAGCATGATTGGTTTGAAATGAAATTGTTTTCATTTGCATTGAGTAGAGCATGCTTATTTGGAATTGACTGAACTGTTTTGATGAACTGAGAGTTTTGTAAATTCTGAGTTTTCTCTTAAATCCATGCTCACATGGGAATTTTCTGGTTTATTTCTGAAATTGGAGATTGATTGTGAATTATGGATTTTTCTGTAAATCCTACATGGTTTTGTCTCTTATATGGTCATGATTACTATGCCCGCTAGTGGGAGGTTTATAAATGCTAGCACATGTCGACATGGATTTCCATAGAACCGGTTCATCCTGCCAATGGGATAATACATTGGTAATTACTGACGCCTGCCAGTGGGAGTTTGTAAACACTGGCACCATTACTGACGCCTGCCAGTGGGAGTTTGTTAAACACTGGTACTTCTGTAACCTTGCCAATGGGGTTAAATATTGGTAACTACTGTGCCCGCTAGTGGGAGGTTTATAAACGCTGGCCATGACTTATATATGAGACTACTAAACTGAATTTTCTTCTGCATTAATGGTTTGTCGTGGAACGCTTTGCTTTTGAACTGAATCTGATTCTGCATTAATGGTTTGTCATTGAACGTTTTGTTATGTTAAACTGTTTATCTGGCATGCTAAAATTTTTACCAAGGGCTATCCATATTTACTTACTGAGTTTCTCATAGTTTTTCTTTGTCCATCATTTCAGGAAGCGAAACCGAGGGCGAGGAAAAATGAGGGGAGTGACGAGTTAGAAGGCTAGTCATTCTATAAAATGAACATATATTGTAAATATGGATCATGATCTTGTAAGACTAGATTTGACATGGAGATTTGAGTTTAGGTCATGTGGGACATAGAATCAATTTTGAAATATCGGATCTAAGTTATTAGATTGTCAGAGGTGAATTGGATAAGTTCCGAGTCTTGTGCATTTGTGGGATCCGTCTCACGAGTACACGGCGTCTGTCACGTCCTTGGATTTGGGTTCTGGGGCGTGACAGTAAATTTTAAAATTAAAAATACATTAATATTACAAAATAATAGAAATATAGCAAAAATAATCTTTTTCAGAACTTCTTACAAAGATTGTCCTCAAAACAAACCAAAATTTTTAAAATACCCTTCAGACTCAAAAAAATTTCTTTACTGCCTACATGGATGTCATTGGTCCTCATAAAATTGTCTTCGAAAGTAAAAAAAAAAAATTTCTTCTCTTTCCACATAGACATATGGACATGTCATCCTTGAGTGTACCATTTACTGTTAGACAATAAGATGAGAGAAAGAAAAAGAAACGAAGTGATGAGGGAGATAGAAAGAGGGTAAGACTCAATTTTTATTAATAAATATTACTAGATTACAAAGAATTTGTGAATAAAAAATAATTGTATTTGAAAGATAAAAATGTCTATTTAGCATACAAATTGACTTCATTATCTTTATATAAAAAAATTATAAATATATTATTAAAACTTTTTTATATTTTTTTAAAAAAATATAAAATAATAAATATATGTATAAAATGGAGTAAGAGAAAGAAAAAAAATAAGAAAGATGGAAAGAATTGAGAAAGAAGTGAGAG